CATCCCTCTGCTTGAGATCTCCCTGCCCCCTGTGGTTTTCCCCTCTGGGAGATGAGGTCCTGGACCACTCCTTGTCCGTGCTGGGCAGGATTAGGCTCCTGAACCATCTGCTGCCTGCCTTGCCACATCCCACGCTGGGGACAGGGACAGCAGGGATGGCGTAGCAGGGATGGGTGCCACTACTTGGGTTGGGCACATTTGTGCTGATGGGAACAGAGAGAGAGAGAACACCCTGTGGGCATCTCTCGCCTGTGTTTAATGAAGGTTCAGCTCAGACCTTTCGTGTGTGTGGCTGGGAATGAGATGGAGGACAGGGGCATCTCCCAATGGGGACTTCTAGATGGATGCTCTGGGCTGGGGACCGCTCTGAGGTGGCACATTGGTGTGTTTCAGGCTGTAAATCCCCATAATGCCACCAGACTGGGACTGCCAGCAACACCCACATCACCTGGGGGCCAGCAGGCACTGGAGGTTCTCTATGGGGAGGGCTCGAGCCTGGAGCTGCAGCAGCAATCGGCTTAAGGGAGATAAAGGCATAGGCAGGAGGGGGAGAGGGAGGTGGTGTGGTCTGGGTGTGAAATGAATGGTTTGGAGTCTTGGCATTAGGTTCTGGGGGACTCCTGGGTGACACCAGGCAGGTCACCCTAGGGGCTTCATTGTCACCATTGCCCTCATGAGACAAGGCTGGTCTTATGGATGATGATGGATGCCAGCATCGAAAGACATCACTTTTTGGGAGTGGGGAGAGCAGTCTGGGAAGGGGATCACAGCATTTATTTCCTCTCCAGGTAAAGTCTGGCCATGGAGTCCCTGCTCCTAATACTGGAAAAATTCATGTCAGAGCAATGGGCTGTCCAGGAATGTTGGGATGTGCTGGGTTAGGAGGGATGCAGGAGGCTGGAGATGCTGAGGGCCAGGTAGGGTCAGCATGGAGCTGATCCCGGTCCAATCTTGGGTTGATTGCTCTGATTGCATTAATTGCCAGGGAAATTGTTGGGAAATCACCCACACCACCTCTCTGCTCCATCCCCACTGTGAGCCCTGTGGACACCCCTGCTCAGGGAGTGAGCACAACGAACATCCTTTGAGCATCCAAACATTTTCTGTAGCATCCCCATCACATTGCAAACCCAGCATGTATGGGAGGAAGGGAACTCATTCATTCCCTGGTTTTGAGCCAAACTGTGCCCAGACCAACCACAACCTTGCTTTTATTCTGCAAATGTGCTTCCGCCATCCCTGTGTTTTCTGCACCCTCCTGCAACGTGTCCCTGGGGATGCCATGAGCAGCAATGAGTCCCAGAGGTTAATGATGTAAAGTGCCAAAAATAGCACCTTTATCTACGAGTGTGTGTCCTTGTGCATTTTTATGGAAGCAAGCAGAAAGGGGAGCTGGGAGAATCACAAAGCCTGGACTGTGTGCTGTGATCCTGCATGGGCGCTGGGCTGTGCTTTGGGGTGCGCAGGCTGATGCCTGGGGGTGTTCGTTGCTTGCGTGTGTGCCTCTGGTGTAATTTTAGCAAAGCCTCCCCAGGTAAATCCTCCATTTATTACACCATAAAACCCACCAAATGCACAGGGCTGGGGCTTTGTGCCCTCCCCCATGGCAGCACAATCTGCCAGGAGCTGCGGGTAATCCTCTGCACTCCATCCTTAATCCCACTCTGTCCCTCGCTGAACCGCCCACGGTTGTGAGCACGGGGTGCTCCCACGTTTGCTTTCCAAGAAGCCCCAGGGAGGATGAGAGCAGCACCAAAGGGATTCAGAATCTGCAGGTGTGTGGTGCAAACCCGTGGGGTCTGAGCACCCCACCCACAAGGAACCCCAACAGCGTGAGCTGAAAGTCTGTCTGTAGGTTGGTTGGTTGGTTTTCTTAGTGTTTTTTTCCTCCCATTTTGGGCTATGATGCACCAACAGACCTGGTTTTTGACTTTTTTCATCCCACGAGCACAGGCTGTGTGCAATGAGGGTGTGCTTCCAGTTGGCTGCAGGCTTGCCTCAGTTTCCTTTCCCTTACTATCTGGAGATCAGTGAGTTTGGGAGTGCCATGCAGGTATCTCTCAGGAGCTGAGTGCTGTTTGGGGGCTGCTGTGACCATGGATGGTGGGGATGGATAATGGAGACCACACTGCTCCCCAAGAATATCCCTTACATCTCCTGCAAGCAATGCTGTCTCAGCCTCATGAGCATCCCAGCAAGGTGAACTGCTCTGATGGTGCAGAGCCAACATTTAAACCCTCTCCCAAAGGTTCAGGGCTGGGGCTGTGTGTTAGGAAATGTTGCCTTGAGGATGCTGTATTCCATCTCTCCAGCACGGCATTGAAAAGCTGCCATCCCGTTTAGTGTATCAACCATAATTATTGTTGGAAAGGCAGAATGGAAACGGTTTGTTTAGTTACATTTCATTAAAAGAACTTCATCTGGGGGCAGGAAACAATGAGGCTTAAGCTGTATAAATATTTGAACAGTGCTTTCCAGCAACATAACCCCTTGGTGTGTGCATGTGTGCACGCACGTGCCTACAGCCCAGGTCACATACACATGGATGGGTAATTTGAAACGTTTCCCATTGCGTGCCAAAATGCTGAAAACCCCCTATTCCTGGTGATGGCTCAGCCAGAGCTTTGGTTGATTTTGTCCATTGGCAGAAGCTTTGCTCTTGTATCGGGCCTGACCCCTCCCACCCATTTATTTTCTCAGTAAAATGAGCCCTGCGGGGCTGGAGGTGCTTCCTGGGCAAGGTAATCAGAGATGGCAGTGCTGGGATCAAGGCTCCACGCTTGGATGGATTTGGGAGCTTTCCTTTCATCTGGAAACCCGAGCTTTCTTGGTGTGTGCAGTGAGGTCCGGGGGGCTGCATTTCGGGTGGTCCCCACTGCTCCACATTTTGCAGAAGGGCAAAGTTTTGCTAAATGCTTGAGCTGCTCCAGGAATGTCTTTTGCTTGCCTTTTAATTGAGTTTCTATTAGTTTTTATTGCACACTGGGTTGCTGAGAACCATGATAGAGTGGGGAGCACAGCTGAATGGTGCTATCAAAGCAGATTGATTGCATTTGCAAACAAATAGTTGCAGCAGATAGAGCTCAGGGTAGGCGAGCATCACCTGAGTCCTAGACAGGACTAGGGAGAAGAAATGCCTTTTTTTCTCTTTCCCAAATTTAGGCACTCCAGCATATATGAATGAACGCATGCATGTATTTGCTTTTCAAGAGTTAACCCTCCCATCCAACTGCATCCCCACTTCAACTTCTCTCCACAGCATCAGTGCATGCCCCTGGGAGCACCCAACCCAATATTCAGGTTGGCCAAACAAATTGTGGTGCCCCATCCCTGGAGATGCTCAAGGCCAGGCTGGATGGGTCCCCGGGCAGCCTGGTCTGGGAGGGGTGGGGAAGGGCAACCAGCCTACAGCAGGGATTGGAACTGGATAATCTTTAAGGTTTTTTCCAATCGAAGAAGTGGGGGGAAAGAGATAAAGTCCTATTTTCCAGCCCTTTGGAGAGTTGAATCTCAGCTTGGAGAGCGAGCTCTGAAATGCTCCTTTGTGGAAGGTGAGAAAAGCTCAAGACGGTTTTGCATGTTAAGCTGCAATAGGATTATGGAGGTGAGCAAATTAAATCAATTCTGGGCTGGGTGGGGAAGTTCAGCATGGTGAGTTTAAGCTGCTGGGTTGTCGCTGAGGTGCAGAACCACCCATCCACAGAATGGCTGGTGCTTGAGGTGACCCCATCCATCGGGTGATTGGCCCTTGGGGTGATCCTATCTGTCGTGTGGTTGGCATTTAGGGTGACCCCATTCATGGAGGTGTTGGCACTGTGTTGATCCCATCCCTATGGAGCATCCTTGTCTGCCTGATGCAGTCCCATTCACTGGGCTCATTTCTACCTCTTCATTGGGTGTTTTGCATGCAGCAGGAGGTGGTACTGTGTTTGGAGGTTTGTTGTGTCTTTTTCCCTCCATCTCCCTGGAGGGAGAAAGCAGAGAGTGCTGGGAGAGGAGGTGTTAGCAACAATTGATGTTGGGAGGCTTGCTATTTTTCATGCCAGCTCTGGCTCGGGGATATTTTATTACGTTGTGGGGTAAGATCTGGCACTAATCCACTGAAGCATGGGAATAAAAGATGATACTGGAAGCAGGCGATCCCAAGGAGGAGGAGATGCTGATAGATGTACTAAGAATGTGTGGATGTAGTACTCAGGGACTTGGTGTAGTGGGCAATATTGGTGGTAGGTAGACAGATGAAGTTAGAGGTCTTTTCCAACCTTAATGATTCTATGATTCTAAGAGCTGAGACTGGTCTGGGATTGAGGACCTGGTGAGGATGCAGCCTTCCCATGTGTAGGAAGAGCATTTCCCACCAGCATCCTGCACCCCCAGAATCCAGCACTGCTTTTTGGCCGTCCTACTTGGTTTTGCTATGGACACCTCCAGCTCAAGCAGCCTCCATGGTCGCTACCATCAGTCTTGCTGTCAGGAGCAGCTTGCCGACACATTTATTTTTAACTCAGCCTTGGATCAAAGCATGGAAATGCAGCAGTTTTGTAGTGGGAAAAGAATTGTGGAGTCTTTAAGGTTCAGAAACAATGTTTTCGTTCCAACTTTATGTGCAAGTTAATATTATTTCAACTGTTTATAGTATCACTAAATCATGTGCTGGAATGAGTTATTAAGGTTTTATATAGAAAACACCAGAAAGGTGCTTTCAAGGACTGATTAATTGAAAATATCCCCTGGAAAATATCATAGAAACGATCAACACTTTTCTTGTGGTCTGTTCTCAATTTAACGTGTCGAGACAATGGCTTTCAGCCACGGACAGATTGCTGACCCTGCATGCAGGGTTGTGTCCATTTGAGCTTTCCAATGCTACTGGCTTTGGCATCCTCCCCGGATGCCCCGGCTGTGGGATCCCAGTGGGGCACACAGAATTCTGTTTTCCAACTGGGGTCCCCATGTCCTTTCCCCATGACCTCATTGGGAAACGAATCCCAGAGCTGTTTGGGGTGGGTGTGCCCAAGGAAATCACCCATCGCCTGCACACTCAGTGGATGCTGCGTCGCCATGGAGGAGGTGGTTTCCATGGCAACCGTTGCCATGCCGATGGCTACCAGAGAAGGACCTGAGAGCATCCTAGGGAGGTTTGCCAGCCTCTCCCTGATGCTAAGGATGGATTTATAAGGCACCCTTCCTCCCAGTGTGCAAGGGAGACGTTTGGCAGCAGGACGTGTCCGGAGATGCGCAGGGTCACGCAGGAGGTGGCAGGTCACATTGGTTCCTTGGTTTCCCAGTGAACCGCCCATGGTGCTGTGCTGGGCATGTCAGTGGGACTCTCTTCCCAATCACATTTTTTTTCTATGTAAAATGATGTCACCTATCTTGATAAAGGGGGAGGAGAGGGAAGGATGGGGCATCCGCTGTGCTGGGAGATAGATGCACATGGACAGCACAGAGGGACTGAAGCCTCTCTAATCTCCGGCTCAGCTCTGATGGGTCTGGGCCAAAGGGCCTGAGCTCTCTCTCACTTTCCAAGGCTCTTAGTGCAGAACTTGGCTGTGATTTCTGCTGCTGCAGCCCCTTGGCTGTGGTTCCCAGCCAGCCCTGCCAAGCCACAGTGTGGAGGCATCAAGGGGACAGTAGGTTGGTGTCATCATGTGTCCACAGGAGTTACAGGCAGCTGGAAGTAAATTGGCCATTGCCTTTGCCGCTGGGAGCAGGGAGACAAATGCACATGCCCTGGCACGGCACAGATGCAGCTCACCCTGAGGCAAAGGAGTAATTAATCCCCAACACTGCTGAGTCTTACTGGGCTCAGCCCCACTGAGCGATGGAATCGGCTGTGGTGCTCTTTGAGTAGCTGGGTGTTGATGCCCTTGTGCACCAATCTCCATCATCTCTAGGACTTTCCCAGTGATTCATCACCATGGAACCACCAGGACCAAGTTCTGCTTGCAAACTGCACTGACAACTGCCCAAGTTGCTTTGATTAAATCTACTCCCTCACTCAGCTGAATTTGGTTCTTTGCAATGGGACGGGCACACACTACATGTACCCATTTGCATCACTGCATTGCTCCAACATCTTTTGGGCAAAATGCATCCAGGGCACACACTGGCTCAGCCAAGACTCCACCCATGGGATGGATGGATGGATGGACGGATGGATGGATGGATGGATGGACAATTGGATGGGTGGATGGATGATGGGATAAATGGATGGTGGGATGGATGGGCACATGCTTCCCATCCAAGCACTGGGAACTGATGGCTGGAGCTGCCTCATCTGGTTCCAATTTAAGAGAGAAATGAGTTTGGCAGAGCCGGGCCATGTGGCTCCCATTACAGAGAGGCTGTGCAGGTCAAGCAGAGAGAATATGACCTTTGGGGAGCTCAACAGGTCATGCAGCAGGGCCAAGGGGTGGGCTGGGGTGTGCCTGTGGTATGGGCTCCTGGTTTCCTGGTGAGACTCAGTACTATTAGCGTAAAAAGTTGCTATGGTCTAGGATTAAACGACAGCCTTAGTCTCCTAACAGGCTTTTAACAGAAGACAGATGCAAGTTTCTGGGCATCCCTGTCTTCTTTGAAAGGCTTTAAAGTCCGGCCACGCCATACCCAACAAGTACAGGATTCAAAAAAGCAAATAAAAGCAGCTCCAAATGTTTCTTCTCCCAGCCCCCAGACCTTGCAATTGAGACATCATTTATTTAGCAGTGTCATTTGCACTCATCCTTTGTTTATCAGTTCTTTTCTGTTTTTTTACCCTCTCCTCACCAGAAGCTGGAGCTCAGTGCTGTACAGATCGGCGCAGTGAATATGAAATCTCTTGAGCTCATCTTGCTATCACCAATTGAGTTTACCTTGATTTCCAAGGAAGGAAATGAGGGGTGAGGAGGCAGCAGGGGCCTGGCCAGCGGGCACCTCCTCGGCTTGTCCCGCACAGAGCCACTTTAACATTTCAAAACTCATTTTTATTTCAATCTGGAATAGAAACAAAGAAACCCAAAGCTATTACCGAGAGGTACAATCCCATAATAGCAAAGGGGGCCCTTCCACCCCTTTGCGAGCACCAACCTGGCTTCTTACATCTTGAAACATCTGATGCTATCTTACAGATCAAAGCCTCCTTGTTTGGGTTGTAATGAAGTGTCAAACTGTTTCCTTGCAACACAAACAGGAGACACTTTGATCTGCAAAACAAGATGCTTAAGAGCGCTATGAGCGAGGGCCCTTCAAGTTTTAGCAGCGCCACGGAGCAGCGGAACATTTGAAGTTTGACATCGTGTCATACTGTCACTTTGCAGGTTGTGGCAGCTGATAGCGTGCATTAATGTCACACCTATGCCAGAAATCACGTGAAAATCGTCTAAGAGTAAACAATAGCTGGAGAACTAAAATAAGATTTTTTCTCACACTTTCCAAAAACAACTAATTCAGTTTTTTCCCTTTTCCAGAGGGCTCTTTCCACAGGAAATGTTATCAGAGTCAACGTGCACTTTCCACAAAATGTCACCTTGCTTGAAAGATTTACCACAGGGAATTATTTGGGGGGGGAAAAAAGCAGTTTGGAGCAGCTCGACCAGAGAGCACTGCCTGCAGTCCCCTCCCTTGGTGCTCTCTTGGGTTGCTCTCCTCATCCCATCCCATTTGACCCCATCCCGTGGTGCCCATTGCAGATGGTTAACGCAGCTTCTTGCTTGGCTGCAGGCTCAGCGCTGGCGCAATGAGAACTATGAGAGGCCAGTGGACCTGGAGGGCTCCGGGGATGATGATCCCTTTGGGGATGATGAACTGGATGACATCTACTCGGGCTCTGGCTCAGGCTGTGAGTAGCTGCAGGGCTCCCAGGGGAAGGCATGGGGTCATGGGGTGGGGTTTGGTGGGACTGAAGCTGTGGGATGGGGGGAATGGATTGCCCTGTGCCAATCTCCCCAGCAGCTCCCCTGCTCTCTCCAGCCAAAAGCAAAGGAACAGTACCAAATCTGGGCTCAAGTGCTTCCACTTCCCACTTTGGTCTCTGGCCCTACCAGGCAGGATTAGCCCTTTTCTAACAGCCTGGACTGGTGTTTTAAGGGTTGACCTGAGAGAGGGGCTTTGGCTAATACCTCAAAATCTGCATCCCTTGTCTTCTGCTGAACCCGCAACTGCTCTGTGCTTTCTGACTTTTGGGTGTGAGGCCATGTGGCCAGCCAGTCCTGGGAAATGCCCACTTCATCCTCTGCTCTTCTCTCACTCTTCCAGATTTTGAGCAGGAGTCGGGGTTGGAGACAGCAGTCAGCCTCACCACGGACACATCCATCCCACTGCCCACCACGGTGGCCGTGCTGCCCGTCACCTTGGTGCAGCCCGTGGCAACTCCCTTTGAGCTGTTCCCCACAGAGGACACGTCCCCTGAGCAAACAACCAGCGTCTTGTATATCCCCAAGATAACAGAAACACCAGTGATCCCCAGCTGGAAAACAACCACCACCAGTACCACTGCCAGTGACTCCCCCAGCACCACAGCCACCACCACCACCACGGCTGCCACCACCACCACAACCACCACCACCATCAGCACCACTGTGGCCACCGCCAAGCCCACCACTACCCAGAGGTTCCTGCCTCCTTTTGTCACCAAGGCAGCCACCACCCAGGCCACCACCCTGGAGACGCCCACCACCTCCATCCCTGAAACCAGTGTGCCGACAGAGGTGACCACATCACGGCTTGTCCCCTCCAGCACGGCCAAGCCGAGGTCCCTGCCAAAGCCAAGCACCTCCAGGACTGCAGAACCCACGGAAAAAAGCACTGCTTTGCCTTCCAGTCCCACCACGCTGCCACCCACAGAAGCCCCCCAGGTAGGAGGCAGGACCCTTCTCACCTGCTGAAGGGCTCATGGACAATGGGTGAAGCCAGGAGATGGCAATGAGGAGCTTTTAGAGTGGCTGAATCCTGAGCCTGCCGTTCAGGTTCGGCTCTTCCCAGCTCTGCAGAGAGCAGAATGTTTTGTGGGATGGAGAGGGGAGATGGAAGGGTGGGGGTACAGAATCATAGAATCATTATGGTTGGAAAAGCCCTCTAAGATTACCAAGTCCAACCTCAACCCATCCCCACCATGCCTACTAACCATGTCCCTCAGTGCCACATCTCCACATTTCTTCAACATCTCCGGGAGTTGTGACTCCACCACTTCTTTGGATAACATGTTCCAGTGCATCACCGCTCTTTCAGAGAAGAAATTCTTCCTAATATCCAACCTGAACCTTCACTACCTCCAGCATGGGTAGAGCACAGGGATGGGGTTGATGGCAAACGCTCCAGAGCTTCTTCCCCAAGCAATAGGAGGGCAATAGTTTGGGGCAGAAATGGGCTTTCCCCTGGGTGCAGCTGCTGAGCTCACTGTCCTGCAGCCCGGCTCACAGCCTGGAACTGGCAGACCCAATCACTCTGCAGTCCCTGCTTGAGCCCATCAGGCTTCTAGGGTGGGGGATTTAATCCACTGCTCCGTCTCTCATTCAGAGCCCCTAAGGGGCCTTTTGAAAACCACTTTGACTGAAAGGTGGAGTGATTTGTCTAAACTAGTCCCTCTTTTCTGGGTATGTATATATGTGCGTAGCGCTCCGGGCTCCTGCTGACCTTCAATTAATCTCTGTCACAAATCCACGTGCTTGTGGAAGCAGTGAGCCATGCGCTGTGCCAGGGGCTCTGTGACATGGAGAGGTTTCCGTCTCATCTGCCCTGGTTTCATCCCCAAACATCTTATTGCTCATCCCCATTTGTAATGGGCTGAGGGAGCCATTTGCCCCACAAAGGAGATGTTCTGGGGGAGCTTTGCTTAGGGATGCCCTGGGATTTGCTCTTGGAATGGGGGAACAAAACCAAACCATGGCCAACTCCCATCTGGAGAATTCATGGAGCACCAACAATCCGTGTTTGGGTTCTTCATGTGAATCCACTCTGGCCACCAGCTGCATCACTGTGCACAGCCAGAGACCCATGGGATCAGCTCAGCATGCAGCAGGGTAAGGAGGCAGGATGGTCAGGATGGATCCCCAAGGATGCTGTGAGTGTGGGGATGTGTAGGAGGCAGTGTACAGATGAGGATTGGGCTGGAGGAGAACAGGGTAATGCGACCCTCCTTAGGTCTCCATATGAGGCCATAGGTGGGAGTTTGTGTGTCTCAAGGGCACCTGGATGGGGACTGGCCAGAATGGTCCTGTTTGGCTAAAGAGACCTTAGCTTTCAGGTGACAGTCAAGATGTGGGATTGTACTGCTCTCTGCAATACAGCCATCCACTTCGCTGACATAGGGAAGGGACACTCCAATGTTAACTAACCCACCATGGTATCACCATGCCTTTCCTCCAGCCATGCTGGTGCTGCTGGAGACACGAACCACCTGTAAGTCCTTGTCTCCTGCTCCACCTTGTCCTTTCCTCCAGGTGGAGCCAGGGGAGTTGACAACGGTCCTCGACAGTGACCTGGAAGTCCCAACCAGTAATGGCCCCAGCGGGGACTTCGAGATCCAGGAGGAGGAGGAAACAACTCGTCCTGAGCTGGGCAATGAGGTGGTGGCAGTGGTGACACCACCAGCAGCACCAGGGCTGGGCAAGAATGCAGAGCCGGGGCTCATCGACAACACGATAGAGTCTGGCAGCTCGGCTGCTCAGCTCCCCCAGAAGAACATCCTGGAGAGGAAGGAAGTGTTGATAGGTGAGAGAGGAGCACATGGGTTGGTGGGAGGATGGAGGGCTTGGCCTTCAGCAAGGTGCTGGGGTGGTGCTGGGACACACAGCCTCACCTGCCCCAATAGATGGGTCCTGTCTATCCTTCACAGTAAGCAGCACACTGTTGCAGCTCCTCAAATCACACAAATCGCACGAGGCCACCACCCTTGTGTTCAGTTTTAAGCATGAATTCAGCTCATAAAGCACAAAACCAAGCAGAACCCAGCCCGATTCCCCTCCTGACAGCTGTGCTGCTTTCTGTTGCAGCTGTGATTGTCGGCGGTGTGGTGGGAGCCCTCTTTGCTGCCTTCCTTGTCATGCTGCTCATCTACCGGATGAAGAAGAAGGACGAGGGCAGCTATACATTGGAGGAACCCAAACAAGCCAACGTGACCTACCAGAAGCCGGACAAGCAGGAGGAGTTCTACGCGTAGGACAAGAGCCCGGCATGCCTCACGCTCCCTGCTCCTGCTCCAAACTCTCCCTCCTCTCCTCCATCCCGTCTCTTTATCTCTCTTCTCTTTTGGATCAGACTGTGAATTTAAAAAGCAAAAAAAAAAAAACAAACAAAGGAACAAAAACACACGAAAGGAGAAACCGTACCTTTGGCGCGAGGAGATGCCACGTTGCGGATGGCGGATGGAGCTCACGGGGCTTTTCCCACCTCCATGGCGGACTCTGGGATCCAGATACCTTGTACAGCCCTAGGGCGCAGGGTTTGGATTTATCTTCTTCTTTTTTTTTTTTTTTTTTCCTGTTGGAAAGAAAGGAGGCGTTTTTTTTCTCTCTCTTTATCTTTTTTTTTTTTTTTTTTCTTATTTTTATTTTATTTTTTGAATGGAGCTGGTTACTTTGCAGGAATTCCCTTTTGCTCCCAGCTTCTGTTTGAAAAGAGGATGCGACTCTCAGATATGCTTTGAACCTTGAAAAAGCACAAGGGGCCGGAATACCTGGTGCCCTGGGATTTGCTCTTGGAATAAGGGAACAAAACCAAGCAAAACCACGGCCAGCTCCCATCATGGAGCACCAACAAGCCGTGTTTGGGTTCCTCAAGTGGATCCACTCCGGCCACCAGCACCCTTTGCTGCATCGCTGTGCACAGCCAGAGACCCGATGTCCCTAGAACCCATGTGGTGTTGGCGTGGTGTGGAGCAGGGCCTGTGCTTTCGCTGGGTTTTCACTGTGACCAATAAAGCTCAGCTTGCGCAGCCCCTCTGGCAGCACTGGTTTTCAAATGGTGGGGACACGTGGGGATCCCCACTTGGAGGGGAGCTGGCATGGGGTGGGAATGCAAACGTGTTTGGCTGGGGTGGTGTCCTGGAGCTCAGCAAGGGAAGAAAGGAGAAGCAGAGGCACTAAATGGCACGAGTCAAGCAGGGGGACCCAACCACAGGAACACAGAGCTGTTTGAGGGCATTTTGGAGCAGAGTAGATCATCTGCATGGCTTTGGTGAGCCCCAGTGCTGAGCATTTCTATTCCTTTTGTTGAATTTTAATTCCCATGGGGATCAGCTTAGGGCAGCCCACAAGCAAAGTGCCCAGGAGCTGTTGTCAACTACGCAGTGCTCTCCCTTCTGTCTGGAAGGAACACGCAGAGCCCAACCATGCTTTCAAGAAGGGCCGGATCTTGGAATGAGCTCTCTGCACAGAAAAGTCAATTAGATATTTCAATTAGTTGGCTTTTAATTAGCTGAAGCACTGCTTGCCGTGCAGCTGAGGATCTTTGTTTTAACAATGGCTGTGATCTCAGCAGTGTCCCGTGGAGATGTTGGCTTTGCTCTTAGAGCAGTTTGAACAGGAAAACAACACAAATATCGGTTTGGCCAACTCTGCTGCACCATGAACTGACCTGCATGGGCACAGTAACACTTTGTCCCTTCAGGACAAGAGTGCATACAGGGATTTATTACCCTGCTGGAGGCTGCAAGACAGCAAAGCTCCTTTTTGTGTTGGGAATTTGAGAGTTTGACTGCATGTGTGAATATATATATACATATATATATATACACACACACCCACATACATACACAGTTTGATATATATATATAGATATATATATATAATGTGAAATGAAACCCCTGTAAATTGTCATTGCACTGCATACACTGGCTGAGCTGGGCCTGGTGATTGTGAAGAGCTGAGGTTTGCACATCAGCATTCGGTCCCTGAGCTCACTGACGGTTTTATTCCACTGTAAGGAGCACAGCCCAGCTGTAATAATCCCACTTTTAGAGATGTCAGCCTCAAAACAGTCATTGTTTTTGTTCTCTGTGTTCAGAGAAGGCTGTTCTGTTGGCTGCCTTGGATGGGATGCTGAAGGTGCAGGTGTATGTGTGTGTATATATGCACCCATTTCTAAAGTCTGTCATCATGAGGATGAGGATGCTCTGAAGGTGACCACGTGCTGAGGAAGGCTGGTGTTGGCCCCGAGGGCCACTTCCAAGCTGCTCAAAGGGTATTGCTTAATGGCTTTGTGTTTCTGTTCCCAAAGGCCCCTGGCTGTTGATGCATGGCAGAAATAGAACCTCCATGGTAGCACGAGTTGGGCATGGCAGGCATCCAGGCCACCCCAAATCACTGTCTTTTGGAATAACGTGGACTTAATCTTTTGAGCTTACATTAAGGGAAAAAAAAGTCAACCCTCCCAGCTTAATCTTTTAAATGCTGCTTTTCTTAGCTGCTTCCCTAATCTTCTTCATTCCATTTTTTTTCCCTTTAATAGTCTGAACTTCTATAATACAATTTTTTATTCACTCAAGCTTAACCTTGGTTCGCTCAGCTGGTGTTAAGTTGTAATCCTGGCACTTAAATCCGTGACAGTTCCAGAAGTGAGGAAGGCTGGCAGCAGGGAGAGGAGCTGGGCAGATCTTCCTCATACAGCCATTAAAAGCAGGAGATCACAGGCCAAAAGGAAGGTGAAGCCAATTAAATACATAATTAGAATTGACCTGGCTTCATTCATTGTCCTCTTCTCCTACATGGTTGCTCAGAAACTGCAGAGATGTGATCACAAGGAGGGTTCCTCTGGGGTGGAGATGAGTCTGGGTGGGATGGAGTTGATCATGAGGAAGGTTCAGCTCCAAAGAAATGCAGACGCCATCAACTCAATGTAATGGGGAAGGACGAAAACCGATGGTGCTCTGAGGATGTGAGCAGCCCTGTTGGTATAGGAGGGCTTTTCCTTCTGCTTCCCCATGTCTTTGGTGGCAGAGCCTTTGCTGTGCATGCTTCTATATTTTAGGAGAGCAACGGGACACAGTTGGCATCAGCCAGTGGCAGGACTCAGCCAGGCTGGGTTTTTCATGACTGGGATTGGGTCACCCCTTTCCTCTGAGATCTTTCATTTTGGACCTTTCAAGAATAAGCAGCAGGACTTGACACAAATTTCCCATTCCCTCCCCATTTTGCCCATTGGGTGACAAAATCCCCCCTCTTCGCTCCATGCAAACCTTGGCTCTGCTCCCAAGAGTTACCCAACCTCTACCAAGAGCCACCAGCATGGAGGCTATAATGGGAGCAAACCCATCACCGAGCAAACAGATGGATTTTTGTGTTCTTTTCCTCTTTATAGTTACAACCATACCTGGGTTTGGAGCTTTCCGTGGGGCTCTGTCAGCTCCCAAAGCGACACTGAGAATTCACAAGTGAGATTTTCACTCGAAGCGGCGGGGATGTCTGTGGCATGTGTGTATGTATGTATATATATGTGTATGTAATTAATATATATGTATATATGTATATACGTGTGTGTGCAAAGCACACGCGCGTACACAGCTTCAATGCAAACTGCACCTAACAAGGAAGGGGTGCTGGGGGCTCCTTCCTTCACCATGGCTATGGGAGCAAGGAGCTGGTCCTGCCTCCCCAGCTTTTCCAAGGCTGAGGCCAGGAGCCCTGCTGCCACCTGCCCCTTTCCATGGCCGGAGCTGAAACAGAGCCCAAAAACCCATGATGAGACCCCCGAACCCACGTGGCTCTGCTTCCCCCCACGTACTGTGCCTGCAGCTCCATGGCCGTACCCACACTCCGTCCCTATAGAGAAGTCTCAGTCTGGAGTTAGCAGATTCTATTATTATTTTTTTTTAATATATATAATTTTTTTAATTATTATTATTATTTTCTTAAAATTCACCCTAGGAGACGCCCATGCAATGCCCAGATTTATCCCCCCCACCTCGCAGACAGCTCCATCACTGCATTTCCAAAGACCTCAGGGGTACCAGTGACCCTCTGGGTATTAAGCACCCCCTGGTCTAAGGCATAAATGTACAGCTGACAATCAAAACTGACAGAAATGCTGACTTTAAAAATAAATGTATCCATTGCAGTTTGATAGAACTTTTTAAAATCACATGCTTGTCTCTCATGAGTGCTCACCACCAGGATAAATCACCGCCCATTGGTCCTTCTGTAAATAAACATGAAACATCCTTGTATAAATTAAAAAGAAAAAAAAAAAAAAAGAAAAAAGAAAAAAATAATAATTTAAGAAAATCCACTGATATATGTCCAAAAAATTATCCCTTTCCAGAAGATTTAAATAATTTGAAGAAAAAGGAAAACCCAATGCGTGAGCTCCACTTCACGTTTTCTCTGGAGCTGATTTAAATTCCCAATAGGAGAACAAAAACTCTTTAATGGTAGAAGGAACTACGAGTGTTTTACCTTACAATAAACATGGGAGGGGAAAAGAAAAATGCATGTAAATATTTTTAATAGGAAACATATCTTAAACAGAACCTTTTTTTGTATGTACATAACTCTTCTAGAGTTTAGTACTTAAATTGCTTCATAGTGTCTGTTTAAAAAATGAAAAATAAAATAAAATGTTTGTTAATTGTTTTTGTTCTTACTCAATGGCCAAAACTTTAAAAATAATAAAAAAAAAAGACTATAAAAAATAATCTTTGCCAATGGATCTAGCACTGTAATGGTACTGTCTATTTTTTTTAATTATTTCTGTGCTGTGCCCATTTATAAAAGGAAAAAAAAAATAAAAATAAAGTCATTTAAACATTGCCTGCCCAGGGCTTCGCCTGCTTTCTTGCTGCCACAGGTTTTGGCCATGCCAGTGTGAGATGCAAGGGGAGAAGATGTCACTTGCTGGGGTGTGATAGTGGCAGGTGAGGGATGGAAGCTAATTAATGGTCTGCATGGCAATGCCATAGAGATGCTGATGAGCCACTCCACCTGATGCGTGTGACCAGGGTGCAGAGAGGTGTGGGTATCCTCAGGATGTAGCCACTGTGTTCCCATATGCTCAGGTGTTGCCATGTCCACATGTGTCTCCAGCAAGTGGCTGAGCATTGGGCACTGCTAGAGATGGGCAGTGGGGTTTGTGACACATCAAAAGGGGCTCTGTCTGAGCAACTCATTATAAATCTCCACGATAACTGGAGAGTCCAAAATTAATGCCTTCTTTGATGCTTCACTTTGCAAAGCATTGGACCTACACATCCATTCCTGCATGGATGTGTAGGAATGAAGGGGATGAGGAAGGTGGACGTGGCCAGATGGCAACGGTGAAGCTCCTTTTACCTGAGCTGATGCTGCCATGCCAAGAGGAAATGCATTGGCAGAGTCTGCCCAAGGAAGTGGCAGTGTTACCATCCCTGGAGGTGGTGAAGAGCTGTGGAGATGCAGCAGTAAAGGCCACGCTCAGTGGGCATGGTGGGGATGGGCTGGGGAGGGATTTGGTGATCTTAAAGGTCCTCTCCAACCTTAATGAATCTCTAAGGTATCAG